TAAATTTTAGGGTTCATTTTAAAATTTTAGTTGTAACTTTTAAAGCTCTGCACGGTGAAGCTCCCCAGTACATCTCATGCTTCATCTCGAGCACTCAGGTCGTCAGGTCAAAGGTTACTGGTGGTCCCACGTACTGGGTTTAAAACACGTGGGGATCGAGCATTCAGGCACCGAGGCTGTGGGACTCCCTGCCGCTGTCTTTACGCTATCTTGACTCCATTGACTCCTTTAAAAGCTTTTAATGAATTTTGTCACTGTTTTATATTTTATTTGTGATTTTATTGTGAAGCACTTTGTGATTTTTATCTGTGAAATGTGCTTTATAAATACATTTTACTTACACCCCACGAGCACAGGCAGGCTTGTGTGTATGCGCAGCTACACGGTTTGAACAGTGCAAACCAGGATGCAGGAGACTCCTCATCCTCCTCAGACAAACTGCCCACACAGGCACATTTCACAGCTTCATACAAACACAGAGCAAACTGGTCCTTGTGGACATGTGAGAGGAGGCTTAATGAACATGATTTTAGGTCCCCAGGTACGCCCATTAAAAGAACATTAGTGTGTGTCAACTCTCACAACCTTCCAACACTATTAATAGACAGGAAATCCCAAAAAGCTCCCATGTTTTAGACTCGTGTTCAGTTTGATTTTCCCTAAAATGTCAGGACTTTACCTCTGAGACCCAGATGTTTCTCAGACTGACTCTATTTTAGACATAATTAACTTTATCATGCAGCGGAGTACCTGGTAGTTTCCCTTGAGGCTGCCAATCATGGTGGAGATCTGGTTGACCAGGCTGAGATCATGGATTAGGTTCTGCAGGTCTTGGTAGAGCTGACCAGGGCCCATGTACAGTTTATCTGCACAAACACATTTTCAGGCGGTTGGTTCACATCAAATCAAATGTAATAAAAGTGTAATAACGGCTCATACAGTAGCAAAAGAGCAGCAGTGACTACAATCCCAAATTAAAGTATCACAAACGGACAGCATGGCTCAGAGGAAGCTGAACGAGCAAAGTCAGGGTGATTAGATAAGCAGTTAAACATGTTGTCCTCCCACAGGGACGGTGACAGCTCTGCAGACGTGGCAGTAATTCTCACCCCTGTGAACCAGCCAGCGTTAGCTTTCAGGGGACGCACAGCTAATGCTGTTTGTTGATGCATGTCAGTGTAAATCATCCTCCCACCTGTACCTGCTCTATGTGGGAGGAAACAGGCTTCCAGCTTCCTGTCTGCCCCTCGTGGAAGCTAGTAATCCTACGTGATGTTACAGCAACTGTTGCAGTTCTGCATCTATGGACAAAACCCTGCAGCACAGACCGGATTAAAGGTCCGTCAGGGCACCGGCCTCCATCGCTCTCCGTCAGTCAGCTGATCCGCCCATGGAGATCAGCACTTGCAGCAGAGAGCGTGAGGAAAACACTCGCTAAGTCTGTGTGAAGGTCTGCAGCGCACAAAGAGTTAAACTGCAACTCAGGGAGATCCAGCTCTGCAGCTCTGTTTGCGTCTGTTATTCTTCTCTCCTCTTTCATCCTCTCGTACAATAGTCACAAAGTCTGACTCCGACTGCAGCTCCATGGTAACCGGCCCGGCTCCCTCACGACTGGGCGTTGGGGGGAAATCTTACCCCTGTTTGTACACGACCAGTTCGTTGGTGGTCTCTGCAAGAGTTACTCTGAAACGTTTGCCTGGATGAGGCTGTTCAAACACAGCCATCTTTACACATGCGTGAGCACTACTGCCGCGACTCCTGTAGACTATATTGGTTTTTGGTTTCACTGATGTTTGCACGACCTCCAATTCAATCGCAGTGATCCCAAAATATATTTAACATGTTTATTTACTTGAAACAATAATGATCAGCTGAGGAATTTGCTCTTGGAGTGTTTCTGGTTTTGGTAGCGTCTGTGCGTGGGTGTCTTTCTGTCTGTTTTATCAAGTTTTATCAGGATTTATTCAAAGTAGAAACTGCTTCTTGTTCCAGGCTCGTCTACGGCAGCTGCACGGCTCATGTGTCTCTTTAAACACTGTGACCAGGAGGCTGCATGCAGGTCGGGACAGGAATCAACCTTCATCATTGAAACATTAACATTTCTACATGATTTAAAGTCTTTGTTTTTACTGTTATTGCTAAGAAGCCCTATAACCTGCATATGACTCTGTGCTAACTTTCTCACACCATCAGTACCATTACTTGCTGTATTTACTAGCAGAGGTAATAAGGCCCAGGCAAGAATACAACTCCATCACAGCAGCGACCTTTCCCACAGACTGGACTGGCTCTGTGTAACCCATTTCAAACTGGGTCCAACCTTGTGAATGGCTCTTTGTGAGAGCGCCAACTGCCCAGATTCTTCTAACAAAACCGGCCCAGGAGCATCTTCAGAAGCAGGACAGTCACCCCAGCAATTACACGCTTCCTAAAAACAAATATCTACAAATGACACACCGGCCGTGAGAGCCGCAGGAAAACATGACTCCAAATGACCGGTGTGCACGGTGGTGTAATTGCAGTGCAGCTTAGGGAAGAGATGAACTAAGCAGAGAGACATGAAAACGATGACATCATAGCTGGAGAGTCCCTGCGTTGCCTGCAGGCTGGTCTGCGAGCTGATTTTTGGCTGCACACACGGGGCTGAGAAAACAATTGTTTCCACTCGTTAAAAGTTCCTGGATGATGCACACATTTGTAGCACACACACACACACACACATCAAGTTAGTCTGGAAATAAGTGCATCACAGCGAGGAAACTCTGATGCATTAATGTTAATTAACGTAGATAATCTCAATATTAAGTTCCATCTGATTCTGTTTGCAAGAACAGCCCCGTCATCTGTTAACATGCTGGACTCTCCGTGGGAGGCAGATGATGTGAAGTGCAGCGGAGCGCTCGCTGAACGCAGCTCACACTCAGGGAAACAGTAAAAGCACATAAATAGCAGGTAGAGAAAAGAAGAAGGTGTTTAAGGAGCTGGTGGGCAGCACAAAGGTGTGGATCAGAGATCGATGACAGTGTGACAGCTGGCAGGAAATATCAAAGTATTTGAGAGAAGTGGAGTCAGTGTGTAATCAGCGGCAGTAATTACAGCGCTGAAGGAACCAGCCTCTGACCTCTGCTTCAATTCTTCAAACTTTGGACAAACCAGGGAAAATACGTAACCAAAGCATTGCAGCAGACACCCGGCAAATTTAAACACAGATCGAATCCTGAAATAAAAAGTGCAGCGCTGCGACCGCAGAAGGCGACGCTGTTTTTAGGCCTGCTGTTTGTCTGGTCTGGGCCTTTTAAAGCGGCCCAGCAGCTGTGTGTGACGGGGAACAACTGGAAAGACTGAAATCACCCGACCGGCAGCCAAAGCTGAGCACTGCAGAGGGGAAAAACACACATGTGCTGGCTGGGAAATAAATATTTCTACTGATGTTTTTAAGAAACGGTGACGACTCGGTCTAAGGAAGTCAAAGCAGATGCAGTTCCTCGTGTCAGAGGACCGACCCTCAACTGCTGATACCGTACGATCCACTAAACTAATGACGGTTACTAGATTTGTGCCAAACGGAGACACAAATAAGGTGACGGGCGAGCAGACACACTCAAAATCCCTGACTGTGAAACGGCGTCGTACTTGGCTTGGCGCTGATCACCACTTTCTCGCCCGAATGAGGAGGAGGGAAGCGCCCGGTGTCGGCCGCGTCTTCGCTGGACCCGAACTCAAGCACCTCCACGAAGCTCAGAGGCACGCTCCACTTCAGAAGGAACTTCTGGTCAAGAGTTACGCTTCCGCTACCACTGCCGCTGCCATCCTGAAATCTGGAAAAGAAACGATGAAAACGCTTTGATATGAAACCTCCCGATTCTCACACAGGTATGTAACTTTGTGGGTCGTGGTCTCCCTCACCGGATGTTGGGCGTGGCACACATGAGCACGTCGTTGAGCAGGAACAGGCGTCGCTCCTTGGTTTTGATGATTTCCCCACGCTCGTTGTAGACCGTCTCCACCATGTCGTCTGAGCGGATCAAGTAGCGGCTGCCGTTACTTAGAAGCTGACGACAGAGATGATACGCTGCATTAATGCTCTGAAGACGCTAAACAAAAACCCAGCTCGGAGAAGGAGTACAGACCAAGCAAAGACTGAGAGTACTCGCATTTCATTTGGCATTAATGGCTCATTTCACTCTTGCATCCTCTCACTTTGGATAAGAGTAATGCAGCGACGCTACGGGGAACTCGCAGCCTGCCCCATCCAGGCCGTCCTGTAAACACGCCTGTGCACAGATGCCAGAGTGGGTGGCTGAAGACAGTCGAATAATTATACCTTGGGGAAAGCTGGTGTTTTTGTGCAAACGCTGTGCTAAGCCATGCACTAAAAATAAGGTATTCAGTCAGGAGAGAAGCTCCAGTGTCTGATGGCCGCCCACACTGGGACTGAGAGAAATGCCACAGCATATGCTAAAAAATAAATCAGCCAAAAGCAAAGTCTCCACCGATCAGTAGACTTTTGGTTCGGCGCAGAAACGTGCAGACCTTGTTGAGGTAGCGCTCGTTCATGGCCTTTGCGATGTGACGGATCTCGCAGCGCTGGTCGGCTTCTCTCTTCTTTTCATTGAGCTTCTCAGCCAGAGTCTCCAGTTCGGTCAGGGCCATCTGCAGGGGCAGGCGGTCCGGGTGACCCACCGGTGTGTTCTTCAACATGTCCTGATGAAGACGAGAGAAAAAAGACACCAGTTTGATGCTTTTTCACCCTGTTTTCAACAACGAATACCAGCCAAGCCCTGTTCTGCCCCACTCCATCTTTCTACATGTATATAACACACATCCTCATAAATCATCCTAAAGATTTAAGAATCGATGGAGAGCCCTGCTACGAATTATCAAGCTGTCTTGATTGCTATTAAACTGGTGTAAAAAAGAAAGAAAGCAGCCCAGTGTCCCACATTTTCACTGATATTTTCCTGCAGCAGACATTAATAGTAAATATGCCGGGGCAACGGGAAGCAGGATTAAAAGAGACGAGGAAAGCAGGTCTCTTCAGAGCAATTCCCCTGCCTCGCTTTGAGCCACAGCTTTGAAAAACAAAGTGCTGGGTTTATGAATGCAGCACTCCCTCTGCTGGTGAACGCATGAACAACACTGCCTGCTGCACATTGCATTTTACTGTGAAGGAGGTGAAAATAAGAGTGAACTATACCTGCAGCAGCAAAATGAACTGAGGGAATCTCTGGATAGGCTTCATCATCAGGCCGTACAGAGTCATTCGGTCACTGCTGGTTTCCTGACGATGCTGCCGGCGACAAGATGGCCAATCGGTGTAAAGACTTTCATTTTGTAAGAAAATCAATATACCAATCTGTTTGAATGTGAACAGCTGCCTTTGATATCAGATATATAGCAAAACAGCTTTTTTAATTCAAATGCACAGCAACAAAATAATGAAACAGTTTACTGAGAAGCAAACTTCCACTCTGTCCTGTAAGGTTAATATTTGACATTAGTGTGTTGGTCTCAAACCTTGAGGAATTCCAGGAATGCCGGTTTGGAGGCGCACGTCTTCCTCACAACTGCCATCGCAGTGCTGAAGTTATTCACATACTCGCGATAGGCGTCCAGCACCATGGACTTAGAGAACTGCACATAAACACAGGGGTTACTTACTGCATCATGTGCTTCAGTTACAGGAAATGACATCATCCAAACCTCTATAAAGATGCACACCACAGCAGCAGTACCATTAGAAATGTGAATTCACTTTAACTTGTCTATGGTGCTTTAATAAGGTGCAAATATGCTTTTTATAAATTAGGTCTAATAATGCTGTGATATAGTTATGTTTAGAGCTGCCACGATTAGTCGACTAGTCACGATTA